TAATATTAATAATAGTTATTATATTATATTAAAAAATTTGAAAATTATCAGTTTGCTTTTAATTTTATAATTATTCTATAATTCTATTCTAATCATAAACTTGATAAAAAAAAAACATTAAAAATCAAAAGACAGAATATAATAGCACTGAAAATTCATTGCAAATATTTAAAAACTAATATACATACTTATATAAAAGAAACAGTTTAAAATGATTTCTACATTACATTTAAAAATCATCGAAATCGAGAACATATTTTCCAAATTATTACCAAATTATTGAATTTAAATTCAAAATATATAACATTCCTAAATTTTGCATATCTATTTGAAATTATTTATATAAAGGAATTATCTATATTCATTTTCTGTTTATACTAATTATTTATCGAATGGTTTTCTATTCATATCTATTTTAATTAAATAAATTTTTTAAAAAATAAGATTTTTTATAAAATAATTCTCTGTTAATTACACAGTAAATTTAAATACTTCAGATTAGATCGAAATCGTGTATGCATATATGCGAGTATATATATATTATTTATATATTATATACATCTATCATATATAATATACATATATAAAAATTTATTCTTTTACTTATATATAACTTGAAATTAAAATTTAAATTTATATATTAGTACTGTAGTAATATAATATAAGTAATATAGTCTTAGAAATAATAAATATTTTTTTATTTTGTATATAATTTTTATCTATATATAATAAATTGCAAATTCGATCTTTTTCAAATAAGATAGAGAAAAAATATTAATAATTAAAAATATTAATAATTATTAGCAAAAAAGTTGAAAAGCTTTATAATTTTAAAATAAAATTTTTATCAAGAATAAAAAAAATAAAAATTTCAAAGATGAAATAATTTATAGATATATATGGATTAGTTTGTTACAAGATTGTTTTTATAAAAAAAAATTTTTTTTCAATTTTATCATTATACAAATATATTTTTCAATATTTTCTTTTCAATCGAAAATATTTATCTATTATGATTACAATAAATTTTAACGGATTTTAAAAGATATATTTACAGAAATGTCATTAAAATTAAATTCTAGATTAAATCGAAATGTCATCGTACAACCATAAATAAAACCAAAAGTATATGTACATCAATTATTGTATTTTACATAAATATATTACAAACAAAAATATGTTTCACACGATAAATAACATTTCTTATGATGAAAAGAAAAAAAGACATGTATCGCAATCAAAATCCAATACGTGATGTATGATACAGGCTATGGCACGCATATATATTTGTTTGTTATAACTGTATCCAATATCCTGCGTGTTACACATTGTCGAGTTTCACCGGACGCGCATAGAATGCATTTGTCATTACCAAATGGAAAACAGCTTTCGCGATGATTAACAGTTTATACAGATAAAAATATATTCATTCTCTGTATTGATTCTAACAATTTCATTGATTCTAAATAATAGTATTATAATTTAAGAAATGATATAATTTTTAAAAATTTGAATAAATATGAATAATTTTTTAATTAAAAATTAATCTTGAAAATAAGATTCAACGATTTTATTATTTAATGATTTAATGATTTTATTAGAGAACTAATATTTACTTGAGATTAAATGAAATATTTTCTATATCATTATTTAATAATTAATTTTTTTGTAATATATATTTATTTTATTTAATATTCAATGAAAATAATATTTATTTAGAGATAATGTATAGGGTATTTACTTTCAGATGAGTTACTTGTTAAGAATATTCAGCCTACAGGTGGCCAAGTACTGTATGGATTCTTCAATGCCAGATTGTAATAAAAATTTATTGCTTACCGGGATACGGAACTTAGGTAACATGGAAAATAATGTTCTTGATAAATTGGATCCGTATCAACGTGACGCGAAAGGACTTAGTAAGATCTGCAATTTCATTATGAACGAAACATAATAAAAATTAATGATATTTTCGTTAATTTATAATTTCTTGTTTATAGTTTGGCGTGCCATGATAAAAAACGCATATAATACAAGAGTCGCTCACAAGCCAGATGAATTTTACTTCTCCGTCGGAACAGATTCATTAGGTATATATTTAGAATTAAAATAATAAATTTTAACAAAAGAACAAATTTGAAAAAATTAAAATTATTAGTTTTAGTTTTATTCAATTTCAGAATCTTTTTCTTAATTTCTATTAATTTTATATTCTGAGATTATTTTAATTTCTAGTTTTGTTTTTCTGAAACATTAATACAAATCAAGTTCTAATTCTAAAAAAAAATAAAAGATTATATTCAAATAAATATTTCTTTATAATTATATATATATTATAATTTATAATTATAGTTTATAATTATGTGTTTATAATTATATTTAAAAAAAAATTCAATAATAGAAAAAATTGAAAAAAAATAATAGAACTTCATTTTATTTTTTTTTTTTTTTTGAAAATGAAATTATGCATTAAATAATGAAATCAATACATTAAATGACTTATATTTAATTATAATTCAATCCTATATATTACTATTATATATATTATATATAATATATATATTATAGGATATATTATAAGATTTTACATAAAAAATTCAAAAAAAAAGAAAAATATTATAATTAGGAAATTTTATTTTTATTTAAAAAGATATATTTTTCCAATCAAAAATTTTTCTGCGGATAATATAAAACCTTGATTTTTTTAAACTTTTACATGGATGTATTATAATATTTAATAAATTTAATGTTACTATTATTCTTACAATTCTAATACTCTATTCTATTAATATATTTACATTTACATTTATATTATATTTACATTTATTATATAAGTTAACTATTTACAAAAATTACAAATATAATAATTATTTTTGCATATGATGATGATGATGATGATAGTGATAATGACAATGATAATAATAATAATAACAATAACTATAATAATAATACATTTTAAGATATAGATATAATTAAATATATAATTAAATATAATAAATAAATTAATATATATTTATATATTTAAGGAATAAAGAACATATTTATTTAACTTATGAATTCAAAATCGGATTCCATATTATCTATTATAGGATAATATAGGATTTTACATTATAGTAGCAGTAAATTAGTTTTACAAATTTTTTCATATTTATAAACAATTAAAAAATTTATTAAATTTTTTATTACAATAAGTAAATTACTATCAAACTAATTTAAAAATATAATAACACCATTACGAATAAAGAAATAAAAAAATTGATATATAAATTTTTAAGAAAATATATAAATATTATCAAGAAAAGATTTTTTGATTTTATGAACATATTTAAGTTATTATAAAAAAAATTAAATACGTCTTAAATCCATTTTTAATTTCGTATTATTTTCTTTCTGCAACAAACATATTCTATTATAAAATCATATATATTATCCAATATTAATTTTATTAGGGATTTTCAATTTATCAACATTATCACGTTTTTTCTTTATTAATTAAAAAAAAAATGTAAAAATCACAATAGCGAAATGTCAAATTACGAAAATTGTTATAAACATAAAGAAATCAATAATATTTGTTTTACATGTTTTATTTTCGTAGTCTAAATGAATAAAAACAAATGCTATGAGAAAGTTTCAATTGTACATGTCCCATTAGAAAGTTTTTTTTTTCTTCATTCGAATGAGATCATATTTGATAGCTAGATGCTTCTTTTCAATTGGACTAACTTATTTAACTGCACTTTCACCCAATCATTTGAACACATGAATCAATGGTTTAGAATGATTTTTTTGGATGTCATAAAAATGTTATTTTTTAAAAGATTTGAGATAGAGATATTATATTTATATAAAAAGAGAAACAAATAAATAAATATAATTTCTTTTGCATTTACGTATTATTTTCCAAAAGATTTTATTGAAAAAATTATTTAGCAAATAAAAAGAAAAAAGTACTATATTAAGCTAATATGAAAATATTGAATTATAATGCAAAGATCATATAATTAAAAAGAAAAATAACTTTCAAATCATATATATTTAAGTTAAATCATAATCAAATTATACAAATATTAATTAAAAAAAATTAAATGGCTATTTAATATTAAATTCATCTAAATTATTAATAGATTTGTTTTTTTTAATAAAATTAATAATGACGTTAAAATTTAAAGTTATCTTAAAAAATAATTATAAATATATAAATATTATAGTTTTGAAACAAATAATGAATGAATTTTTTTTAAATCTAATTTTTAGAGAATAATTTATGATTTTAAAAATCATCATAAAAAAAAATATATATATAGTATATATAGTATATATATATATGTGAATGTATGTAATATATAATGTAAAATGTATATATGTTTATGAATGTATATAAATAATATGAATATAATAAATAATAAAATATAAATGTTATGAATATATATAAATAATAATATATGAATGTTTAGTGAATATATATAATTTATACAATGTATAGATTAAGTATCAATAAATGAATACTTACAAGGATTAAAAAAAGATTATTATGGATCTTTATTCGGATATTATTTCGTATTATATATGAAGAATACTGAAGAAAAATTTAAAAGAATATTTGTGGCAAATCTATAATCGATTTTTTAAGTTGTCTTGAAAAAGATTGTATAAATTGCATCATAAATAATAAGCATTATTTTAAACAATGTTTTTGTTTTAATTTTTTTTATTTTTATTTATTTTATTTTTTTCACAAAATTATTTATTTTATTTTATTTATTTTTTTGCGAATTATAATTAAATTAATTTATAGTGTTAAGTGAAATTATATTTTTATTATTCTTTTTTTTCAGCTATCAGTGATAGCGATATAAATGGTATTGGAGAAGAAACAATGACAACACGTGATCGTATTCAATTATCTTCTAAACACGCTGGTCCCTTCCTGGTCGGACCAATGGTAATTCGAGTATACCCGGATGGTCGACCAGTTCCAGAAGATTTGATGCGTCCTTTGCCTCGAGATGAAGATATGGAAGAATTCAGACATTCTCAAATACCCTCATTTGAAAAAATGGAAACTAATAAAGATATTTTCTTCGAAAAACAATTAAAAGAAAGCACACTTATAGAACCTAATAATCATGGGTTGCCTCAAGAGAAGATTGTTCGAAATAATCATTCACTATTTAAGAGACGATTACCACAAGAAGTAATTGTAAAGCGTAAGATACGGTATTATTGAATAGTATCTAAAATTTAAATTCATTAGATAGTCTTAAAAATCTTCGTTGTGAATATTTGTAAAATTCATCGAATATTTGGGTTTTTAGAAATAATGAAAATGGAATGTTTAGTGAAAACTTTTCTTTAAAAAAAGTTAGAACATTAGAGATGTGTAAATAGTTAAAATATATAAAAGATAAAAACTAAATATTTAGTTATTAAATGTACTTAGAAAATTTGAAGATTTACTGGTATAAAAAATAATATTTTTTTCAGATATAATGAAGTCACACTTAAAATATTAATTTATATTCAACAAAATTATTGTTATTTTTTATAGTTTATTTTAGTTTATTTTTTATAGTTGCAAAATATTTCATTTTTATGAAAAATTTTTTATAAAAAATGGTGTTAATGGTTATTTAAATGTTAAATAGAAATTAATTCTTGATGTAATATTTAAAATATTTAATCATTTTCAAAATGATTAAGTTTAAAAGTAAGAGAATGAATGATATTTTTTGATAATTTTAAATATTAACATTATTAGATAAGATTTTTATAAAAATTACTGAACAAATTTAAAAAGACTGCTTTTAATAATGGTATCAATATTTTATATGAATATTAATCACATATCAGTCTCCAAAAACATTTAATATAGAATATAATATTTAGAAAGTTAATTGACGATTGGTCGACACTAAAATTGTTTATTTTTGTTGCAGCTTTTAAATTTTATTTAATAAGTACATCATACAAAATTTTATCTATATTTTTATAGATTGCTGCATGTATTTTTATAAAAAATGTCGATCATGAATATTTTCCATTATTTTATTACATATATGTTAATTATTACTATATGTTTTCCATTAATTTATTATTTATTTTATCATTCTGCAAAATATCATTTAATTTTACATTGATTCCATTTATAATTTCACTCATTTTTAAGTAAAATTCAAATATGCATGAAATTTAGCAATAAATATGAAAATTAAAAAATAAATAAAAAAATTCAATTTTTTTCTATTATATGAGATTTTTTAAAATCTCAATTATATTTTCAATATTTTTATTTGTTTTTAAAATACATGTCTTTGTGGTATATGGGAACTTACCTCGCTAAAAAATTTATTTGTCATGCTGAGTGAATATACATATAAAATTCATACAGTATAATATTAAGAATATATTTTCATACATATATTGAAATTTATGTTGAATATTTTATTTGACAAAATATATTTATTGTAATTGTATAGACAAATTTGAACGACGAAAACAAATTGATTTGTAAATATTTGTATAATTTAAATTGTTATATTTTATATATTATAAAAATTTGGTATATAATATTTACACTTTTTATATATTTTAAAATGTATTAGAACTTTCATTAAAATATTTTGATATTTTGTTCAAAATATAATAATATAATATAAAAATACAATAAAATTGTTTATAAATTTTTATAAAATTTGATTTAATATTAAAGCAAAATTTATAAATATATTTACAAATGACTTGAAATAAAATGTGATATTTGATTTGAAACAAATTATTTTTATTTAATTATTTTAAGAAATTTGTGATCTTTTTTCTTTTTTTTTTAAATAAGTTGTATGAATTAATTGAAAAATGTTAATTATTTTTATAATTTATTTATTATTATAGATTTTTATTTTTATTTATTATTGAGAAAATATTTAATCAAAATGAAAACAGCACTTTAATATCATTTATTGCACAGTTATTTGCCAATCTTGTTTGAGTATAATCAATGCTTCGACTAAATAAGGCAAGGGCGGAACAAGTATTTCGATGAAAAGTTTGGGGGGGGGATACAGCAGATACGAAGAAGGCATTGAACTGATTCTGATTGTTGAATTTTTTTCAAGTATTATTTAAAAAAACATACATAAGAAAAATGTCCTATGAAACAAGTAAGTGATACATTAACGTTTTAACTATTTTTTGTGTTTTTCAAACAATTTATTATTATCTATTTTATGTGAATATCGACTTATTCAATTTTCCGGTCTTATCTCAAGCTAAATCATAACACTTCAAATGCATCCACATATGTACATGTCATGATAGATGTGTACATGTCATGATAGAATAGATTATAATTAAAATAATTATGAATTTTTAATTATGAATTTTTTTTATATATGACTATATATACAGAATTCATTATATATCATTCATTTTATGCTATTTTTATCGAATTTATCGAATTATGAATTAATTATTTTTTATTTTTGAATATATATATATTTTGAGTAGATATATATCTTTATTATTAAAATTAATATTTACAATAACAGTTAATATTTTGTCATGTTGAATTCAATTTATAGTAATAATATGAAATGAAAAAAATGAATGATAATCATCATAAAAAATAATCATAAAAAATATTTTAACAGCGTATTATTAAATTAAATATTTGATATATATAATTAAATTTATAAAAATAGAAGAAGCAGAATAAATCTTCACTTTTTAATAAGAGAATTAAAATATCTTTCTATTATATTATATGTTTTAAAAATTTAATTATAAGCATTATTATATATTTTCTATCTCTTATTCTATCTATTATATTTAATTATAATATATTCTTTTCAATATAAATATGCTTAATTTTATTAACCAAAATTTAATCAAAAATAAATTATCTAAGAAATATCAAAAGCAAGCATAATTTTAAACCAAAATACAGAGTTTTGATGCTTAAAATAATTTAAATTATTGGACTTATGCCAAGGAAATATATTTTAGTTCCAGTTAGAAAATATATTACATAATTTTCTTCAAATTTTATGAAGTAATATTAATAGTTTATATTTAATAAAATTTTTATTTTATATGTATTAAATTTTATATATATTGTTTTCTTATAATATATATATATTATAAGAAAACATTATTTTATTCTTATATTTGCAGAGTATATATTTGCTACATTACCTAAAACACAAAGAGGACAACCTCTTGTATTAGGATGTGATCCTAAAGGAAAAAATTTTTTATATACTAATGGTAATAGTGTAATCATTAGAAATATTGATGTAAGTATAATAAATAATATATATATATTTTTTATACAATATTATATACATATATATATATATATAAATTTTGTATTTAAAAATATCTTTCTAAATATTTTAATAATTTTTAGAATCCAGCTATTGCAGATATTTATACAGAACATTCTTGTCCAGTTAATGTTGCAAAATATTCTCCAAGTGGATTTTATATAGCATCAGGTGGTATGTATAATTATAAATAAAAATTTATTAGAAATTAATAGATAAAAACATAATAGTAATTCAATAATAATTCAACTAATAAACACTTAAAAATATAAACATTTTTTTACTATAGATCAATCAGGTAAAATACGTATTTGGGACACTGTTAATAAAGAACATATTTTAAAAAATGAATTTCATCCAATTGGTGGACCTATTAAAGATATAGCATGGTCATTTGATAATCAACGTATGGTAGTTGTTGGAGAAGGAAGAGAAAGGTAATTTTTTATATGTGAATTGAATTATGTGAATTTTTGAATTATATTATTGAATACAAAAAGTGACAATTGTTAGTTTTTTCTAGTCTATTTTTTAGAAAAATAAATATTCTCCAACATCAACAAAACATGTTGTAATATCAATTTTGAAGATAGATTTTGAAGATAATATAGGAAATTTATAGGATTATTAGAAAAAAATAAATAATTAAATATTTTACTTAAAAAAGAATATTTTTTACTCAAAAGAACTGAGACTCTTCTGCATTCACTAGTATAATTTTAATAATAAATATATTTCTATAATATATATCTGTAATAATTTTATTTAATATAATTTAATTTTAGATTTGGTCATGTGTTCATGGCAGAAACTGGTACATCTGTAGGTGAAATTTCTGGTCAAAGTAAACCTATTAATTCATGTGACTTCAGACCTACTAGACCATTTAGATTAATCACTGGAAGTGAAGACAATACTATTGCTGTTTTTGAGGGACCGCCTTTTAAATTTAAGTACGTATATGAAAATATCAATAAATCAATTTACTATAAAAATTTTTATTTTTGTGCAAATTTTACAAATTTTAGAAATAAGTGATTTAAAAAAATATTTGAATCTTATTTTTTTCAAATTATTAAATAACAAACTGATTTTTTAAATTTTTCTATTCTATTTATACTAATTTTTGTACAAATTATAAAGATAATTATAAAGATAATTTTAAAAAATTTCATTGAAATATTTTTGAATGTTATTATTATTAAATATTATTATTAAATATTCAAAAAAATTGTGAATATAAGTAGCATTCTTTATCTATAAAATTAATAAAATTCAAGATATAAAAAATTAAAACTTTTATTTAAATGATAAATTTTTAATAAAATAAATAATTATATATATACAGAATGACCAAACAGGAGCATACTCGATTTGTTCAAGCAGTGCGCTATTCTCCTAGTGGTAATTTATTTGCATCTGCAGGATTTGATGGCAAAGTATTTATTTATGATGGTATAAACTCCGATCTAATTGGAGAAATAGGATCACCAGCTCATCAAGGAGGAGTATATGGGGTAAGTAAAAATTAAATCTTTTAAAAATAAATACTTTTAAATATACTAATAAAGAATATACTTATTTTTTGATAAAAATTCTTCATACAGGTGGCTTGGAAGCCAGATGGTACTCAATTATTGACTGCTTCTGGTGATAAAACATGTAAACTTTGGGATGTAGAAACTCGTTCTTTGATTAGTGAATTTAACATGGGAACAACAGTTGATGATCAACAAGTATAAATATAAGCTTTCAATTATATAATACAATTAATAATGATCCTGAAAAAAATAAAAATAAAATGAGATACGAAATTAATTTTTTTTAGGTCAGTTGTTTATGGCAAGAAAAATATTTGCTATCTGTATCTCTAAGTGGTTTTATTAATTATTTGGATGTTGATAATCCTACAAAACCACTTAGAATAATAAAGGTATAAATAATTTGAATGCATAATAAAAATGTTTTTATAATATAAATTTTTAATTCTGCACTTTTTTAGGGTCATAATAAACCAATAACAGTATTAACTTTGAGTCCTAATAGAAGTACAATTTATACTGGATCTCATGATGGATATATTACTAATTGGAATGCAAAAACGGGAGAAAATAACCGTATTCAAGGTCATGGACATGGAAATCAAATTAACGGAATGAAAACTACAAAGAATTTGCTTTATACTGCTGGTATTGATGACACGTTAAGATTAGTTGATATTGATACAAATATGTATACAGATACAGTTATAGTTAAATTGGATTCTCAGCCACGTGGTTTAGATATTTACAAAGATATAGTTGTAATTGCAACCATTCGACAGGTAAAGTTATTTTATTTTAAATAACTAATTTAATGAAATTAACATTAATTAAATATAATTAATTAATAATGTATTTTAGATAACTGTTACACAAGATGGACGAAAAATATCAAATACATCTATTGATTATGAACCATCTTGTATATCAATTAATCAAGAAAATGGTGATATAGCTATAGGAGCCACATCAGATAATATGGTATAATTACTTATATTAATTTATAAAAATTTATGTAAGTATATTTTACAAAAATATAATCAATTTTTTACATAATTTTTAGCTTCGTATATATGCACTATCAGGTACAAATCTAACTTCAAAAATGGAATTACAACATTTAGGTCCAGTTACAGATGTTGCTTATAGTCCTGATAGCAAATATTTGGTAGCTTGTGATACAAATCGAAAAGTGGTTCTTTATACTTGTCCAGAATACAAGGTAAAAAAAAAAAAGTATTCATGAAAATTAAATTAAAAAACAATTAATTTATCTTTTCTATAATTTTCTTATATAATATAATCTTATATATAGAGCGAATCACGTAATATGACTATTTCAAATATAAACTATTTATTGTATAAAAAAATGTTTTTGTAAAAGTGGATAATGATAATTCTTAATTTTTATATTATTTAGATATATTATTTAGATATAGAGAATATTAATGTATTCGAATAATTGAAAAAATCTTGAAAATCTATTCTAAAAATCAAAAAAAGTATAAAAATGTTGACTTATTTATTAAATTATAAACAATTTAAGTTTGCATTACATTAAATAAGATGGAAATGACAGTGTAAAACAGTGCTATCTTATTTTCTTTTTGTCTTGTTTTATTTAATATAAATATTAATTGATTAAATAAGTTAATAAATAATTTAATAAATAAGTTTCAATCTATTTTTATATTTATTATAAATATATAATTTTATTATATATTTATTATATATAAATTTTATATTTATTTTAATTTTTAAATTCAATTTTTAAAATCAACCTTCTAAAGATATTTTCGAATGTATAATATATTAATAATAGTATATAATATATTAATACACTATATAAAAAATATATGAAAATAATCTTTGTTTTGTTTAAATAAAATCATATATATATATTTAATAAATTTATTAATTAAAATTTTGTAAAATTTATCAAAGATAAAAAACATATAAACTGATATATAATTTTTGTTCATTTTCTTATATTTTATGGTAAATATTATTAAATGTCAAATAAAATTAAAATTTTTAAATTAAAAATAAAATTAAATAATTCTTTATTATAAATGATTTAATAGATATAAATGATTTAAAATGATAATCTATTTTGATTAATTGTATTAAAATGAAAAAATGAAAAACTGAAACTGATAACATTTTTTTATATAATTTATATTTTTCGAAATAATTACGTGCATCATATATGTATAATGTTAAATATTAATTGCTTTTAATTTTGTTTTTAATATTTAGTAAAATTCATTATTTTCGCTAAAATTTAAATTTATTGACATTTTATATTTTTAATATACATATTAAGATTAATATCTAATAAAATATCGTGATTGCCATATTATATATATATCCATTTTTTTTTAACAATTGCTTCTTTTAAATGCTTATTGGATTTTTAGAGGGTGAGTATTTTTGCTTAAAAATAATTTTTTAATTGAAATTTGATTAAAAAATTTATTAAAGAATATATAATTTTACAGCTTGCACATAATAGAGAATGGGGTTTCCATAATGCAAGAGTGAATTCTGTAGCATGGTCTCCTAATTCCATAATGGTTGCAAGTGGTAGTCTTGATACAACAATTATCATTTGGAGCGTAACAAATCCAGCAAAACATACTATTATTAAAAGTAAGTATATATAAAGAACTATTTCTTTTTGTTATTTTATTTTTATAATTATCATATTTTATTTTAAATATAATTATCAAAAATAATTTTGTTTTAGATGCTCATCCCCAAAGCCAAATAACACGTTTAGTTTGGTTAGATGAGGAAACATTGATCTCAGTTGGTCAGGATTGTAATACTAAAATATGGCGTATAGAACAGATTTAATTAATAGTTTGGAAGTATGTTTCTTCTTTTTAAAAGAGCTTCATTTTTGAATGCATTTTATTTATTTTGTAGTGAATGAATATTGTATATTATTTTTTAATATGATTTTCGGAATTAATTGATCAATCTGTATTATGATTTTATATTTGATATATCGGAATAGTCAAAACAAGTACATAGTATATACAATCGAAATTGCTACAATGTCTTTTTACATTTTTGCGCTGTGTCAATTATAAATAACATTTTTTACATACAATTATTTTTTAGATATTTACAATATAATGAAAATATATTGTCTTTTTAATTATTCAATTTTTACTAGGTGATTGTAAAAAGAATTAATTATGAAAAAAAAAAACATCAAAACGGGACATGTCTAATTGTCTACTTTGTCTTTATTAAAACATCTTAACGATAACAAGAAAACAATAACAATTCGAACACTAAGGGCTTTAAGGAACGTGATCACGCTTTTTTTAAATTATTTGTACACTTAAAACAACATAATCAAGGTTACTATAATTTGCCTTATTCTTAATCAGTCCAGTACTGAATATTTCTTAAAAACTTGAGGTACATAAGTTTTCATCTTAAATCTTCCACTAATTTATTTTTATATGATAAAATATTTAATTTTTATATTTAAAGATTTTATATGTAAAGATTAAATATTACATCAAAAATTAGAAAGGATCATATAAATTGGGAAATAATCTTTATATATTTTTGTTTTAATTCATATTATCTATCTATATGGATTTTTTTAATTAAATAAATAATGATATGGAGTGTACCATTTGAACAAGAAAACATTTTAATAATTTTACAATAAAAAATTAATATTTTCATATCGATTCTACTTTCTTTTTATAAATCAAAAATCTATAATTTAAAAGAAATATATATACTCTAGCAATAAATAACGAAAACAATCAAGAAATTTCTGATATTTAATTATGACTAATTTTTTTCATTTTTAGTTCATAATTTTTTTTGTTTTTTTTTGTTTTGTTTTTTTTTTTAATCAATACGCATTTACTTAGATCAATAATACGTAAATTATTTAGGACATTAAATAACACAAAAGATTTATGTTTTAAATAAATCCTAATCCTAAAACAAAGATATAAATCAAGGATAAAGATACCAATTTTTATGATTTCGGTGTACTATAACGTGAACGTTTTTGTGGCGAGGCCACTGGATGTCTATAAGAAACGTGTTTTCTAAGGGCATCTCGTGATCTTGATACATGTGAACAAGCTGTGCAACTATATGAACTATTACTATGAGTTTCCATATGTACTCGCAAGTTATATTGATTACTTAATTGCTTTCCGCAAATAAGACAAGTAACACTAGATTTATTATAATTCTGAGAACTTTTACCGCTCACAGAGCTGGTAAGAAATTTAAAATTCGCATCCCAAACAGGAGGAGGTTTTGTATCTTCTATTGGAGTAATTTGATCTTCTAAAGCAGGTGTACTCTCATCTATTCCACTTTCCGAATATGTTTTCTCAACATATTTATTGGTGGAAGCATTAATGGAAGGAATACTAATTTTTTCTCTTGTATTTAATTTCGCATTAATAGAGTAATAAGGTTTAGTCTTCACGCAATAAGGTATACTTTCTTGATCATTAAAGGTTTCCTCTACATTTTCAGTTGTTTCTGTTTCTAGAACAGTTTCTAAAGATTCGCCACCACTTGCAGTATTGTCTTTATTTTCTTTTTTTATTGATGTTTCGGCTAATACTTTTTCTTGTAGCTGTACTGGTGTAGGTTGAACATATAAACCATTATCATGTCTCGAATTTTTCTGTAAAAAATAAAATAAAAAAATAAAAAAATAAATAATAATTATAAGAAATATGAAGATAAAATATGAGATGACTTTTACTTTTTTTAAATTTATTTTTTATATTTTATTAAAAAATATTCCTGTTCTACCTAGCCTCTAAGATTATAATTTTTTAATCATAAAAAAGTAAAATTTAATTTTATTTTTCAAAACATTTTTACAATTTTATTTTTATAAGTTATAAAAATTTTCATGCATTGCTCCACATTTGTTTATATTCATTTTTTAAATAAAAAATAGAATTATTATA